TTTATTTATTTACTTATTGATTTAATTATTTTTTTATTTATTAATTAATTTATTTAATTATTTTTATTTATTTATTTATTTATTTATGCATTTATTAACGTATTTTTTTATTTAATTAATTATTTATATATTAATTTATTTATTTAGTTAAATATTGATCGTTACTTATTTACATATTTTTTTATTTTCTTATTTATTATTTAAATATTTTACTATTCATTTGTTTATTTTATACTCGTTTATCTTTTAAAATTGTTTAAACAAACAATATTTTTTCTACATTATTTCTAAATTGATTTTAATGAAAAATTTGAATATTTTTTTATAAATTAAAAATTGCCAAAGTGAAAATTATTAAAAAAAAAACTATCAAATAGGGTTGAAAAATACATTATTTTAAATACAAATATTAAATTGGGCTTTTCGGTTTCTATTACATTTTTGACCGCCAATTCTAATTGATTAATTTTATTGTAAATAAATAAATAAATAAATTTATATAATTTATTTAACTCACGGTTGCTTTAAAGAGATTAAATAAATGTAAGTATGTAATGAAATTAAAAAACACAAACCTGCACATATATTAAATTTTTTTATATATATTTGTAATTTAATATTAGTTTAACTTATTCGCCGACCAGATTGATTTCACCATACTAACTTTTTTTACCTTTTTTTCCTTCATTTCACTAATTTCTCAAAACACACCTTTCTTATGAAAATATACAAAACGATGTTGTTGTTGTATGTATTTGAATGTATGTATGTAAAATAATATTTAAAATAAATAATATACTATATATTATAAATATATGAAGTAAAATTTATGAAAAACAAAGATTATGAACAAAGAAACAAATGAAACGCCCAATTCTTATGAATGAAAATTTTTTAAAACACATCTCTACCTTGTGCGCCACTAAACTGACGCTCCTTCTCCAGTCGCTCGCTCGTAAGCCGGGCGAGTGGACTGACGAGTGGACGAGTAGGACAGATTTTAGAGCAGCAGGGTCTGAGTAGAATGTGAGAAAAATATATGAAAATTTATTAAATAAACAAATAAAAATTAAAATAAATTACTCATATGAAAACACGCTACAATTGGCGATAGCAGACTAAAAAAAAATTCACTGAAAAGTAGTTAAGTTAGGAAAATTAAAAATAAGCAAATACTTTGCGTAATTTATTAAAAAAAAAAACAAAATAAAATGAATGATTAGTAAAATGTAGTATTAAGAAATAGAAAAATAGAAAAAAAAACACATTTATGTAATGATTCTAATACCTTAAAGTGTGAAGATACGGCTCTAAATATTATAATAAACACGTTTTAAGATACAAAATTTTATAAAAACACAAAGCGATAATTCACCAGTTCAACGCAGTTCATTAACGTACTGATTTAATCAGCTGACAAGCAAGTCAGCCTGAAGGTATGCTAAAATGATTTTCTACACTTTCGCATGACTACAGTGCGTGTACAGCCATTACTACAACTATGGCTTAATATATGTACAGTTACTTGAACTTTGTTTTGGTGCAATATGTAATATTTGATCATTTACTAATATAACTGCTTGTCTGGTGAAAAAACTTTTGGGTTAGCCTAGCAAAATGGTGAGTTGCTATAAAGTGCGTGTAATTTTTTTAAAAAATAAAATGTAGAAGGAAAACTCCTCTCTTGTAGTTATATTGTTATTTTTTTATAATTTGAATTTTCTTGCGAAAAGTACGCATTGCAACGATGATTTTGAATTTGTTTTCACTGCCTCTTTTTATGCCCAGGCGTTCAGCATACCAAAGCTGATATTATTCGGAAATTATATGAAAAAACATTTTTTTTTAAATTTGCTAAAAAAGATTTTTTTAAATTTTTATAAGTTAATTAAACTTTCTCCGCTTTAAAATTTTAATATAATTATTTAATAAAACCGAAAAACTAAAATAAAAAAATAAACCTGTTTCCTTTATAGCAGCTCAATTAAAAGTTAAAAAATCGATTTATTTATTTTTACAATCGATTTTCTTATATTGAAAAGCCACTGAACTCAAAAATTATAAAGAAATATACAATGTACTGAAAAATCATTACAAATTAAAAAAAAATTAATGTGTTTTAAAAATCACACATTCTCCCTTCGCATTCACACATCATCAAGTACCTAAAGATTCCTTGTTATCGTTAAATATTCATATCATTGTTAAATACAATTTTTATTAATTTTTTAACAACCTAAATGTATGAAATACTTTTTATTTATATAAAAACAACAATTTTGTTTGAATAAATCAACAAAAATAAAATGTATGTATTAAAATTAAGCTAAAAAAAATAAGTCTTATATTAACTAACAACTAAAAAGATATATTAGATTAATGAAAAACAGAAACATTTTGTGAATTTTAATTGTGTGCAAGAATCTTATGTGTATAAAATAGTAAAATTTTGACCGAAAAAATCACTTGCAGTAAATCAATCACAATTTTATTTCTCAACAAATATTATATGAAGCTGCAAAAAGATATTGAAAAAAAAAAAATTAATTAATTGCTAAACAAGCATGGAAAATATAAATTATGAATAAAAATAAATAAAAAGTGGATATAATTGCAAAAAAGTAATAATTGCAGTAATTTATTTTCAATTATTCTTCTATGTATCCTCCAAATTTATTGTGCACGACAGTGTATGGCTTCTGGCGAACGCCGAAAAGTATGCCGCAGTTATGCGCCAACCACTGCTTAAACTTTGGGTAACATAATGACGAATCTATTTTTTTCTTCCGGGCATACACCCTGGACGCAGAGTTGGTTTTTTCTTCTTTTTTTGCTTTCAGCTGACTTTGTTTGAGTCAATGCATTCTTACTTTTTCGAATTCTTCTTCTTTTACTAAGGATATAAAATCTAGCCGCACCCGCATTGGTGATACTTATACTATTTTTTTATAAAATTATGCAGCCACATTCGCTTTTCTTCTTTCAACCGGCCCTAACAGAGTTGAAGTACCACCCAAAGAACGTCACAAATTGATTAAAAATTACCCATTCTGGCACACACAATCACTATTGAGAGTCGGAAATAAACCTGTTGATTGTCAGAAATGTGAAATAAAATAAAATGTATCGAGGCGGAAATCCTTGTGGAAAGGTCTGATACAGTTGATCGCGAAAAGCTGTTTTTTTTTATCAGATATTGAGGAATTTTCATTACCATAGAAGTTAAAAGTACATGGTACATGAAACATCGGTAGAGTATCGTAATCCAATATACAAGTGGAGTAGTATAAAATTGGGTGACTTTTGCTGTCATATATCACGAAGTACCCTCCCCTATCTGAGATAATCATATGGTAATGACTACTCGACCTTCACACCTAACCAGAATATTGATGACCTATGCTCGAGGATGAACGATTTCACCTTATTCACTGTGAGAAACCCCACCGTCTTCCTCAAAAAAGTCAGAATTGCAGAGAGATTTTTGTTGGAAAAAAATCCAGATCCAGATTTACTCATAGAGATCTATGCAACATCCTTCCTAAGTCTCCTCTCGTAAATGACTAGAGAAAATTTTGTCATTGCTGTTGTAACGTCAAGTCGGGCCCTGCTGAGTAGATAAAATCCATATCGCCGATAACATCTACCGTAAGGTTCAGGTATTGCGTTGTTCCGACAGGTTTGGACCAATTGGGGAGAATGTTTAGAGCACACGCAAGGAGTTGGTTAAGGTCGTGCGAATATTCAATGTATGCAGGACATTCATTGGATATGTCAAGCTCAAGTCTGAAAAAGTAGGCTTTGAGTCAACTACAATATCTAGACCTTAATTGGGCCAGTTTTATTCGAGTATAGCGAGGTAGCTCCGTTTCCTTCCAGTGTACCGAGGTTGCTTCCAACTGAACCAGTGGGTACTGTATCAGTGCTTACCCTGACTCGGATGACATCACCTAGTGAGCGTACTCGCTGTCTCTATAACTAAATTAATGTTGCCAAATAGGACCAAAAATCGACCAAAACATCTCTCTCGAAAGCTTCTAGTGCCGCCTCATCGGGTCTGGGCATCGCTCACGTTTATGCACCAAATAGTAGAACGGAAATTATGAAGGTTACATAGGGTTTAGTTTTTGTTCGCCGGGAGTGTACTTTACTTTTCAATTGCCTTGTCAGTCCAAAGAACCATCAGTTGGTAAGAGTCACTAGTATTCTTTGTTGAATTTCAAGGCTGGCATTATTATTGGTGTCAATGCTGGCTATTAAATAGACATAAAATTATGTTCTGAAGAATGTATATACCATACCTACCTAGCCCCCACCCCGATATGCTTACTTACACGCCGAAAAACATCATTTTCTGATTCTGGGTTTAGAGGATCTCGATAACTTCGACGAGCGATTTGGCGAACCCATATTATAACATCAACGATATTACCCACTAAGAGCGAGGGATATCACGCGTCAACCCATTGCATCAATTGATGTATTTATACTGAAACCAGGCGTGGACCAATTTTCAATGTCGAGAAAACTTTCAGAGAGACAACACTTGGCCTACGTCCGACGCTTACTATTACTATTCACGCTTCCTACATTGTATCTTCGTTTTGTATTTAGCAAGAGAATGCCTTTTGAAGGAAAGTACGAAAGGAGGTATTTTCGAAGTGAATCGGGGAGATTGTAGAATGCTTAAAAAAAGCAGGAGTGATTATGGCGTCATCTGCGGCATTATATCCGAATTAAATCACATGAAATTACATTGAAAACACCGGGAAAGTTATTTTCCATATTTTCTTGTCTGTCAACTTTATTTACTTATATTTCGTATTTTATTTGTTATTGTTTATTTGTTAATTTATTACTAAATAATTATATATGTGAACTATTTAACTTATATCACATTAAATAAATTAAAATTAAATTACATTTCATTTTAATTAAAAAAAATATGCAAATAAGCATTTTTACATATACATACAATACATATAATATAAAATTTATTTTATTTAGAATACTTTAAAAAAAAATTTAGTTTAATTATTAATTAGTAATTTTTACATACCTACACTATTTTTTCGTTACAATTTCAACGTCAAGTCTGCCTTAGAGCTTTTTGTTATGCCCATCTCCTTTCGTTTTCGCAAATCTCTCACAGGAGAGCGGAGGGCAGGAAAAACTTAAAGAATATATTTTTAAACAAATACAAAATAATTCAAACCATTTGTAACTTCCAGATATTTATTTGTTTCGTTATTAAATGCAAACAATAATTCGTATGGTGGAGAGCTTTTACTAAAAAACTTTGGCTGGACTATTGATTCTTTGATAAAAAAATACAAAAAAAAGAAGTAAACAAAGGCTGATAAAGACAGGAAAGCTTTAAGGTATATTTATCAAAGAAGGATTTGGAAAACTATAGCACAGCGTTACCAAAAATATCGAAAAGCTTTTAAGCTAAAAGTGCTAAAATTTTTTCAATTAATATTTAAAAAAAAAGCAGGAGAAATCAAAAGAAGAGCAGACTGTTAAACAATTGAAAGCTTGGAGCTACATTTTACTAAAATGATTTGAAAAGCTTAATTATTATTGAAGGTGTTAAAGAGCTTTTAATTCTAATATTTCTATCAGATAATCACTAATTTGTAAATAAAAACGAGAGTCTCTCCAAAACTTCAGATAAAGATTTTACTTTGAGCTTTCTGTGCTTTTAAAGCTTACGTTCTATTTGTTGAAAATGATATTGCCAAGGAAAAATTTAGAAAAAAATAAAAGTTTCCAAAAGACTTTTGAAGACGACAGATGCAAAAAGCGTAATTATGAAAAGCTTTGAGCTCATGACCAAGTTTTGGAGAATATTTTCTGCACTTTTGAACACTGCTTCTTAATTAAGTTACAAACCTCGAACTATTTTCCATCCTTTCTGTGATTTCAAAGCTTCAACCTCTACTTTTTACGATATTTTAGTATTTTTTAAACGAATCGAGCTTTCAAAAAGCTTTAATATTAGTTTGTTAAAAAATATTTTAGGGAAATTAAATTTTCTTCTGAGAAAGCTCATAAATATATTAGATACAGCTCTGGAGAATTGAAAATCTTTTCACTGTTTTAAAATAATTTAATTAAATAGGTATCAAACCATGGTTATTATGCTCCTTGTGCTTTCAAAGCAATTTGGAAATTTTAAATTTTAAGAAAAAGTAAAAAGCTCTAAGAAATTTTTGCCTGATTTTGACAAATTACTTAGCTTTTTAGAACTTTGGAAAAAAGCTTCTCACATCAATAATAAGCTTCGAAACTTCACTTCGTTTTGGTTCAAAACCATACAATTTTCTGTTAAAATGTCACTATTTTCTTCGTCATATAAAGCAAAAAACAAAAAACAATTTAATTTAACAAAAGTCATAAAGTCAGTAATACCTTTGGACAAACAAAAAAACCGTTAAAAAACTCTAACCTAAAAAGTTAACTATATATTTTGTAGCTTAGCTAAGGATTATTTACTTAAATCGAACTAAAAAGTCAGTCGTTTTTTCGAAAAATCTGAAAAACTTCTTCTCTACGCTATAGTATTTTATTAACATTAGGCGACGTCGTATTTCCAGGTACCACGCGAACGCACAGCCGCTATCAGTGAGCTTGCGAACTACACGTTGCACCCTCGAGCTGTATACGAATGCTGGATAAGCCAGCAGCAGCAGACGAGGCAGATGTCGTCGCAGCCACTGAGGGTGCTGCCGAAGTCGCTGCTGCTCCTGCTTCTGCTGCTGCTGGTGTTGAGGCTCCACCTGTGGGCATTGTCAATGCGGTACCATTGGGTGTTGTTACAGCCACGGCAGCCATTGTTGGTGGCATGAGCGCGGCTGCACCAAGCGAACTCAATGTTGTACTTGAAGCTGCCTTCTGATTGGGAAAGAGCACCGAGTAAGCTGGTGGCGGATCAAGCTCTTCGTAATTGGGTGGCGCTGTGGTGCTCGTCTGAAGATCACCACCGCCGGCGGTGGCGCCGCTCTGTAGCGCTGCTTCGCGTTCGTTTTGTGTCGCGTGCTGAGAGGCGGAGGCTGAAAGTGAACGGATGGTTTGAATGTGAAAGCTTAAGCGACAACAGCAAACTGGACGGAAGGAAGAAAGAAGGAAGGAGGGAAGGCGTAGAAGTAAGTATTTTAATTGCCAATTTTGAAATGGTGATGAAGGATAGTGGTGATAGAGCATTGGAAAAAGAAATTATGTGATAAATGAAATTTAAAGATATGCTTGTGATAATGATAAGAAAATCCGAGTAAATATCGAATCGGAAGTATTAAAGTGAGCTTTAAGAGAATATGAAGTCGATTTCAAGATGATAACACAAATTGATTTCATATTTATAGAAAATCATGTTTCGGGTATGTGGAACATATTAGCAAATCGCATTTTTTTTGGATTTTAAGTGAGCACAAATGTTAATTTTCCGTTTTAATCAAATTCAATATAAAATTATGTGGAACATATTTGTGGGTTGTATTTATGTACATATTTTGTTGTTGTTTTTTATTCATTTTGAAAAAAATTCAATGATTATTTCAGGATTTAGCAAATCCATGGTGTTTAATTTTGTGTGGAACGTAATCATGGATTGTATGTGGAACGTATTTTAATGAAATTTTAAATTTTGGTTCAGTGAGCCGAAGAGAAATTTAAATGTGGAACGTATTTTAAATACATTTGTATATGATTTATAAAATTTCGTAGGTCAAATATAGGACAAAAAGGAAGATGTTTGTGGATATCATTTATGAGGTGAAAATATTAAAATTATTAAACAATTGAATATATTGCAGAAAACAAGCATTTTGTACAGAAATATTTTGTTGAAAATTATTTTTATTTATGACAGAGTTTTTGTGCGTGTATTGAAGTTTCGGTGTGAATGTGAAACAGAATATTCGTTTTATGATTGTATTGTTAGTATGTGTGTTGTGTGGGTATTTGTGGAATGCAGCGTGTTGTATACAATTGTTATTTTTTTTTCGTATGAGATGAGCGAGTGGAAAGAAAAACCAAAATATAAAAAAATTCGTTACTAAAAATGGAACAAAAAAGCACAGCCACAAAAAGCTTTTATTGAAGTAAAATCACCGAATCCCCCCAAAAACTTACCCCAAAGTCCACAGATCAGCAAAGCGCCGCCACACAGCAGCATGCCTAGCATTAAGTAACCCCACGGACCGTATTTCGATAGATCCGAATTGAGACCCGATCGCGTCGAGTTGCGCCGATGGTGACCGCCCGTGCTTTCGGTGGTATTCGCCTCAGTTGCCGTTATAGGTGCCACAGTGCTATTGCCAACCTTACTATTAGCAGCTCCCGAAGCGGCTTGGCTTATCTGTTTTGAATCTATCTTACGTAGTGTAGTGCTATTCACAGCACCTTTGGAGGGGTTGCCCTCCTGTGTCGGATCAGCTGTTATGCCAGCAATCGTTGTCGTCTCGTCATATGGTGGCACATCGAATGCGAATAGATTGCGAAAAACTTCCAAAGCGAAATGTTCGAAAATATCCGTTTCCATCGCCGGTGGTATGGGTGCACCATAACGACGACGCTTCCAACACATTTCGAAATCCTCATCGCTGTCATATTCATTACTAACCGGACAGTGGCGAATGCCGTCACAAACGAGCTCTTTGGAAATGCAGAGAATCGGTTCGTCGCTGTAAAATTACGCAATTTTATAGAAGGAAAATCTCTCTAAAGGGTTAAACTTACCCAATTCTTAAACACTGATGCTTTCTCTCACTACGACACTGCTCCCCCTTACCCAAAGCTGTAACCATAAGCTTGGAGTGCAGCGTGTGATGCCCATGCTCCCAAACAATGCGCACGCGTCCATGGAAAAGACGTACCGGATCTTCCATTTCAGGCGCTGTATCTTCCAGCTGACATGGATCGAGCCGCCATTGGGGCGTATGGAAATCCAACGAACTGAACTGTAGTTTAGTGAGAAGAAGAGAAATATTGTTTGTTCGTTACCAATTATTATGCTCAGCTTGTTGTTGCTAATTACAAAACGTAATTTACATATGTATTCCTTATATTTATAAGCAACTATTTAAAGTCATCTACGTTTCAGAGGCTTGTGTATGAAGATCGATGTAAACAGTTTTATTATGGTGAAATAATCTCAAAGCACAACGACAACAAAAATGTTGCAGAAAAACAAGATTTCATTAAATTGTGTACGTGATTGAAATATTATTATAATTTTAATAATGCATATGTATACATATACATATGTACATATCGATACACACCTACTTATTTTGGTATTAGAAAATGCAATTAATATATGTATATATGTATAAATAATTATATCATAACTTCAGCTTATTCTTATCATAGCTATGTCGCAAGCCCACGGCAATCGCCGTGAATTGGTGTTGAATGCACCAAAAATATGGCCTGATTGAGCTGAGCAGGCGCGGAAAGATTTAAAACATTAATGTTAAAGTCTTATATAAAAAATTAAACAAAAAAAATAAAATAAAATAAAAATATAAAACAAAAACAAATAAAATTACTTACGAAAATCTTATAATTAGAAGCAAGAAACTAAAATAAAATAAAATAAAATAAAATAAAGCAAAACAAAGTTAATTTAATTTAATTAAATTAAATTAAATTAAATTAAATTAAATTTAATTAAATTAAATTAATTAAATTAATTAAAAATTAATTAAATTAAATTAAACTAAATTAAATTTCATTGAACAGAAAATTAAATAATATTAAATTTATCTAAATTAAATAAAATGAAAAATAACAAAATGATATAAAATTAAATTTAAATAAATCAAAGAAAATTAAATTAAATTAAATAAAATAATATAAAATAAAATAAAATTAAATTAAATTAAATTAAATTAAATTAAATTAAATAAAATAAAATNAATATAATAAAATAAAATAAAATAAAATAAAATAAAATAAAAGAAATTAATATAAAATAAAAAATAAAAGAATTTTATTTAGAATTATTTTATTTAGAATTAGAATTTTTAAATATTGTAAGAACGAATTAAATTAAAATGGAAAGATAAAGCATCATAAAACAAAGCGAAATAAATAAATAAATGACAAAAGGTCAGGACAGTAAACTAAAAATATATTTTATATATTTTGACAAATTTTCAGTGTTTTTAAACTCAAAGGAAGTTTCATCTCTTGTACCTTGCCTATGCCCATCCATACATAGTAACAGTGCCTACAAATTTCACAAAACCAACCAATGTGTTGAAAATTTCACTTGAATGAAGCAGGAAGTATTGCCGCATCTCGTATAATTTCTTTATCCCAGTACCTTTTGTTTTTGGAAAACAGAAAGAAAAAATTACTGCGAGCCTTATTTGCATAACATTTAAATACAATAGCTATATATATGCGCCAGCTATTTCGGCTGTTAAGTTTTCATAATGTACATACATACATACATACATGAATATATAGGATTGAATACACTCAAATCATGTTTACTACTCTTTTTTTTTGTTTTTAAAGGCACAATGTATATTATTTATTTACTCATCCGCATAGGCAACCAGTTCGTTAACCAAGCTGCGGCAAGCCAAGCCAACCCAGCACAACACAACGCAACAGTAGCATTAAGGTGCCCAGGCGTTGGAGTTGTTTTTCATTGAAGCGAATCTCCCACGTAAGCCGCACAGTTCAGCAACATTTTCTTGTCTTCACTTCGTAGCATAATAAACAAATAATATATTTGTAGGGGTAAAGTTATTGGCAGGAAACCGCAAAGACTATTTGATCTCAGTGAATTAACACAACTTAAGATAGAAAAATGGTAAACAAATTTGATATATTATTAACGGTGTTTGCCTATGCTAAGATATTTTATATTTGCTTTAGCCTGTGAGTGGGCTTGTTTTCGACCGAGACCGTCTAGCGGAAGCTGGTTATGTTAATTTTTTCTCCTTTTCCAATTTAGCTATCTACATAATACATATATATACATTTACTTACACATGTGAGTATGCCAAAGGCGAACACTGTTTCTGCGAAGACAATATAAGATTAAAATGTAATTATTATTTCCTCTCTGTGGAACAATTTTTCTTTAACAGTGATGTTACTACCTTCAGAGTTTTCATTGTTTAAATCTCTACTGAATATTAGTCTTAACAAAAATTCCCAACTTTTTTCAATTTTTTTTTTGTAAATATATGTGCTATTTTAGTTTTGTAGTCTCAGAAGCCAGTGAAAATTCAGAATGGTTTTCCAGAGCTTGAAAAATGACCCTACAAGATTTAAAAATCTTCTTCAGTTAAAAAATTTCCTTTACCAAATTAACTTTGGCGTACCAGCAGTGAAACATCAATGAGGTATAATCATTTCTTGTCTTGAGTCTCCAGCAATTACTGAGTAACCTGGGGAAGGAAAGAGGCGGCAGAGTCACAGTGTATGTAACTTCAGGTAGGGTAGTCTAAAGTGGATGAAAAAAAAGACTACTGACGCTGGCTTAGGCTTAAATAGGCCTAAACTACACAGTAGGATATAAGACCACAAGGATGATATCTTCAATTCTCTCAGACAGTGTCGCCGCCCTCAACTTAATATGTTATGATCGTAGAACGACACTAGCTTTCAAATGTGCAGTCGATCATCCGGTTCACAATCATTTCTTTTTTATTCTAAATTTACTTTGAGTGGAAAGAGAGTCCAAGTCAATATCAGGTCCTTATAGTGTGCGCGCCGCTTGAAAACTAGATACATAATTTATGACAACAGACTTATTGTTGTTGTAAGGCATGGGTTTTCTCCTTTTCGGCAGCTTCTGAGTTACTTTAAGATGTCATAGAAAGATGTAATTAATATCGTGCGTAAATTATGTTGGTTATGACGAGCTCTAGACTAATTTGGTATGAGTTCAGACTACAACAGATCCATACCTTAATTGAGCCCAATAATATGGGCTGTCAGTGCGAGGGCAGTTATCAAATGAATATTAGTAAGCCTTGCTTTCATGCTAATAATCATGCCAAAGAAACCTTCGTACACTGAGACCGAATGATAGCACACGACTACATTGATGTGTGCGATGAAACTATTACAAAAACAACGTAGAGTCACTTCGGAAAAAAGACGTTTCTTTGAACTGAATATTCAATTGAAAGGTAAGTCCCTCTTTCGGCAAACAATGACCCAACTCTACAAGCTCCTATCATTATCGTACTACTTTGTGTTAAAGAAATGTGAAACTTGACAACATTCGATGAGTCGACTTTAGAAAAAGGGCCTACGTAGTGCCGAAGTGTGTAGTATATAATGGAAAGATGATCTATATGGCAACATTGTCATATTTCAGAGAGTTATGAGGTACCGATCATACCTGCTGAAACACATTGGCTGACCGAAAAGACTACACCTCTTAAAGTATTTAAAACAGTAGCCAATAGTGGAAGTAGGCAGAGAGGTAAGCCTCCTCTCCGTTGGATGGATCAGTTGGAGAAAACCCAATTAATGTCGAACGGCGAAGAGAAAAAACGATTGGCGTGCCAATGTCGCGTAAGCGTTGTCTACGCAAAACCCCGAACGAGGAAGAGATGTCTTCATATTATTCCGTCACAGAGGTATATTTCGAGATAGAACTTAAGACAACACGTGCGCCACTCTTTACATATGTATGAAGGTCGTGTTTATAATATCATAAAAACAAACACCATCGACACCATCGACACTTGTTCACATTTGTAAAAAAAAAAAAACAAAAAAAAAAAAACAAAGAGCACCAACTGCTCGCGCGCATTTAATTGTAATAAAAATAATTTCATATGCAAATGAAATGAGCGGCGGACGCGCGCACAACCTTGAAGTATGAATTTCACAATGCAATTAGCAATATATATGTAAGCGATAGTGAAAACTAACAAAAAAAATTAACGAAATAAAAAAGCAACGAAATTTTTTCTTAAAGAATTCTCATAAAAAGCGAAATAAAAAACGAAACAAAATTTTTTTTTAAGAATTCTCATAAATTATTATTTAAAAAAAACTGGCGCTAAAAATAAAATACGAAAATAAATTTCCAGCGCTGCGAGCTCTCAAATAAATTTTAAACTATGCAATAAATAACAACAATAAAATATAGAAAATAACAAAAATATATATACATATGTACGCCTGTGTTATGTATATGCAATTAAGCAAATTCTGACAGCAGCAATAACAACAACAACAACATGCACGCCAGCAAGGCAGATAAGCATTGAATTTTGAATTTGTCTAGCGGCAGCGGCGTCATGTGGGGCGTGTGGGCGTCACACGAAAAAACACAACACGTGCTTACATATGTGTGTGTGTGTGTGTTTGAACATAGTTCATAAATCTATAAAAACGCCCGATTTAGGCAGTCAATATGTCATACGATGTTTTCATAGGTTTAGACATTTGCATGCGATGAATGAGAGTTCGCCTCGCTGGGCACACGACACTTGTGGGCGCGCAGCTGGGGTGTGGCAACGCAGCAATAACAAAATAAATAGTATTTTTTGTTTTTACAAGTTTCACAGAAAAAAAATTTTATTTATGGTCATAGCAGTGAAAATAAATAAGGAAATAATAATTGTTTGTATGCAATATTTATAGTAAAAACATGCTTCAGGTGCTCCAACATACATTCTATTCAGTTGCCTGTATGTATATATATAAATAATTTTTTTTTTTGAAACTTGTAAAAATAAAAAATTCAATTCAAATATTTTTCATGATCTTTTAGCTTTTGACAATTTTTTTAATTATTTGTGTATTTTTGAAAGTTTCATGTATTTTTTTATTTATTTTTATTTTTTTTTTATTTTTTTTTTCTTAATTTTTCTTTTATTTATTTCTTTATTTTTTACTTTTTTGTTTTGAAATATTTTTTGTTTTTTCATTAAATTTTTTTTTGGCAACCAATTTGCCTATTTTATGACCGTTA